ATATTAATTGAGTTACATTTCTCAGAGACTTGCTGTGAAAAGTGGATTATTTATCATGTTACACTGTTCTAAGAAACTTTGAACTTTACAAATGAAAGTGTGTGTGTGTGTGTGTGTGTGTGTGTGTGTATATATATATATTACCTTATGTTTATATCCTAATGCCTGCTGACTTTCAATACACTTGTATCAGGCAAGCTGTTCCATTCATTCCTTGGTCACAAAATAATTTTCACACTTTGATCCTCCCAAAACTACCTTGTCCTTTTTTCTTTACTACAAAAGTCTACCCCGATTTTAGCCTAATTTCTGTTTCTTTCAAGTACCACTGGTAGCTTCCCTCCTGGGCAATTCCTCAATCCCATCTCTACTTCCAAGGGTTTCATGACTGAGACCCTGAAGGCAGGGGCATGGATTTTAGATAAACTACCAGGATCTGGTTTCAGCCCAGTTTATGGCAGTAAAATTAAAGAGAAAAACTAATACATTGTGGTAGACAATCCTAAAATGGCCTCATAATCTCTGCCTCCTAGTATTCAGGTCTTTGTGTAATACCTCCCCCTGAATGTGGGTGGGACCTGATAACTGTTTCTAACCAACAGAATACAGCAAAGGTGATATATGTATGTGATTGCATGTATGTAACTGTGTTACATGAAATTGTAATGTGTCTTGTGAGGAAGGCTGTCCCTTGCTGGCTTTGATGAAACAAGTGACAATGTTGGGGAGGCCCTCATGGCAAGGAACTGAAGGCCACCGCTAGCCGATAGCCTGTAAGAGCTGATGCTGCCAAAAACCATACCAGCTCAGAAGTGAATCCTTCCCATCTGAGCCTCAGATGAGACTGCAGCCCTAGGCAGCACCTCCACTGCAACCTGGTGAGAGTCTAAAACAAAGAACCCTGCTAATCTGTACCCAACTGCTGACCCACACAAACTATAACAAATTTGTGTTTTTGTAAGCCACCACATTTGTGATAATATTGCTTCGTAAAAATAGACAAAAAATAGAGAAAGAGAAAAGCAGCCCCCACTGTCTGAGAGCTAACCTTAGCAAGGCCTTGTTGTTGCTGGAACTGGCCTGTACTTATACTAGGCCTTGGTGTTAAACATAAAAAATCCCCGAAGACATCAACATCAGACAAGATCATGAAGATAGAGGCAAAACATGACCAATTTGTAATTATGTCTGAACATGGACAAAAACCTGAACACTGTTCAAATCCACCCAAAGACCAAACATCCCCCTATATTGGCTAATAGAAGTACACAGCTTTAACCTTCATTCAATCCCCATCTTATATATTAGATTTATTTAGCTGCCATTCATTGACTTGCCCATCCTTAAAACATTCAACACAGAGCAAAGCCCTACTTTCTTGAACTTTTCCCCAAATCACCTAAAACAAGCCTAAATCCAGTCTTTTGTAATGCCTTCTTATTGAGATGGGGTATGATTTCCACTGCTGTATGGTTTTCCCCGATATAACCAGCAATAAACTTGCTCAACTTGTTCAACTACAGGTGTGTTCCTAGTGGTCTTTGGCCCTTCATTACTGATAGTGTTTTTATACTGTTACAACTTATTTGTAAGGCAACAGAGTCATAACCCAATCATCAACTCCTAGGAAACCTTTAGCAGAAACTATCTGCTCAGATTTTATAACACTATTAGAGGCTCGGTGCACAGCTTTGTGCAGTGGTTGGGGCATGGCCTGCGGGGATTGGCCTGCTGTGGGAGCGCCACTCATCCTGATCAGCCAGCCAAGCAGCTGTGAACCTGCCCTCTGAGCGGCTGCTCCCGCTGTGGGAGTGCACTGACCACCAGGGGGAAGCTCCTGCATTGAGCATCTGCGTGTCATAGTGACTGGTCAACTGGTTGTTCTGGTCATTCTGCCGTTCGGTAGCTAGGCTTTTATATATATAGATTATCTACAATGGCATCAGAAACAACTTAAAAGTCTAACAATCAGGAAATGTTTGATGAATTATGTTGTATCAACACATGGATTATCTAGTCTACACTAATAAAAGAGAAATATGCAAATTAACCATCAATCCGCCACTCCGCTACACCCACCAGCCAATCAGGAGCAAGTATGCAAATTAACCCAAATAAGATGGCAGTGGCCACGGAGCTGGAGCAAGCAGGAGGCTTGGGTTGCCCCTGGTGATGGAGGAAGCCAAGCTTCCCGCCTGCCCTGGCCTGCCCTGGGCTCTGCTCAATGTTACCAAGTTTCAATTATAGAAGATAAATAAATCTCAGATACCTGCTTATAGCCCGACCTGGCCTCCACTTAAGGAGGGGCTGAAAAAAAAGAAAAAAAAGGAGAGGCTGGGAGTTTGGGTTGCCAGGGGGCGTGACCAACCTGAAAACGGCCATTAGCCCCTCACCCAGGCTGGCCAGGCACCCCAGCGGGACCCCTCCACCCTGAAGGGGCTGTGGCCAGCCTGCAAACAGTCCTCTGCCCCTCACCCAGGCTGGCCACACCCCCATGGGGTGAGGGTCCCCGCTGGGGGGCTTGGCCAGCCTGAAAATGGCCGAGCCCCTCGCCCAGTCTGGCCAGGCACCCCAGTGAGACCCCCACCCTGATCTGGGACACCCTTCAGGGCAAACCAGCTGGACCCCACCCGTGCACCAGGCCTCTATCTATACTAATAAAAGGGTAATATGCTAATTAGACTGGGAGACCTTCCAGAGGTTCTGGACAAAGCCATGGTGGCGGGGCCGAGGTAGAGGCAGTTAGAGGCCAAGAGGGGAGGGCAGTTGTGGGTGATCAGGCTGCTGGGGGGTGGGGCCGTTGGGGGTAAGCAGACCAGCAGGGGGGCCAGTTGGGGGAGAGCAGGCCATCAGTGGAGGTCAGTTGGAGGTGATTAGGACAGCGGGGGCGGGGGGGAGTTTGGAGTGAGCAGGCCAGCAGGGGGGCCAGTTGGGGGTGAGCAGGCCATCAGAGGGGGTCAGTTGGAGGTGATCAGGACAGCGGCGGGGCGCCAATTTGGAGTGAGCAGGCCGGCAGAGGGGGCAGTTGGGGGCGAGCAGGCTGGCAGGGGGGGGCAGTTGGGGGTGATCAGGCTGGTGAGGGGGCATTTGGGGGTGAGCAGGTCAGCAGTGGGGGGCAGTTGGGGGCGAGCAGGCTGGCAGAGGGGCAGGTGAGTGGTTAGGAGCCAGCAGTCCCAGATTATAAGAGGGATGTCCGACTGCCGGTTTAGGCTCGATCCCTGTAAACCAGCAGTAGGACATCCTTTGAGGGGTCCCAGATTGGAGAGGGTGCAGGCCGGGCTGAGGGACCCCCCCCCAGCCCCCCATGCACAAATTTCGTGCACCGGTCCACCAGTATTAAAATAATTGTGAAGGCTAAAGGAGAAAATGTTTAGGATTTGATGTGACAAAAAAATACGGACTATAAAAATGCAAATAAAGGTTACCATTAGCTGAATAGTTTGAATATGCAAGACACTATTTTAGGCATTTTGGTCACATTTCATATAATCTTCACAACATTCTGCAAGGAAAGTAATACTCCCCTTTTGCAGATGAAGACACTAGGGCAAGGAGAGGTTAAATAAATCACATAACTGGGAGTGAGACAGATATAAACCAAGACCCGACTCTATATGCTGTGTTTTTAGCTACAGTGTTCTATCTCTTTTAGACTTACATGATAACTGCAACTAGCTACAACTATGGTATGAGGGACAAACACTTGAAGTTAATATGCAAATGTGAAATAAATGTGATATGGAATTAGGATTAACAGCAATTTAATTTTAAAAATCATCATCTTTAATGCTATATGATCTATTCGATGCAAACAACACAGATAATCAAGCAATGAACTCTTGACCTCCAATTCTCTCTGAGAAGTTAATTATATGTTTTTGGAAAGAGACCGGTCCAAAACTACTACTAATTTCACTCTTTTCTGGCATTTTGAGTAAGGCAGAGAGTAAGCAGGTTTCAAATATCTGGGGGTGGGGTTCTTTTGCCCCCCAGCCAATACTTCTTAACATTGGTTTTCTAATCCAACTTTCATAGAATCCAAAGTGTCCTCTATTTCAATTTACAACACAAGGAAGGTGGCAGTGGTCAGAATGCCATCTATGGTTTGTCCAAAAAAGGACTTAGGTTCTTCTAAAAGTACACAAGTACATCTTTAAATCTTTTGAGTTTATTTGGTGGGAGATGACCATCTGCTGTGTTTACAGATTATATCTTCCAGATTACAGGTAGCATCCCTTCCCAATTACATCACCTGTGTAATCACTTTGGAAGAATATTGCACAGGGGTTGGAGCAGAGCTAATTTTTTGTCAAGCCTTCTAAGATAGGAAAGCAAAGCTGGAAGCTGTTACAGACATGAACATTTTAGGGGGGCAGAATGAGTATGGTGGGGAAGGAAGGATGTGAAACAATGCCCTGTAAATTTGATTTTACTGATACTACATCTCAGCCAGACCAGATTCAGTATGTGCAAAATGATTAATCACTGTCTCCCTGAGATATTCAAGGTCCTGCTGCCTATTCTCAGCATGAAAAAAATATAACACTGAAATATGGCTTTCAGGCTTCTGTTCATTCTATACCCTTTTAATAAAGTGGAACAAAAAATTTTGCCTTGGGTTTGGCTGAGTTATGGGGTTTATCTCCTCTGTGGCAAAGCTTCATTCCTCAGCCCAATCACCAAACCGAGCCCAAGTCATACGAAGCCTGGTAGAGAAGGAAAAATGCTTGTGCTGTACCTCAGGCATCGATTTATCAGGCACAATAATTGCTCTGAGAGACAGGTTTTCTCTTTATATTTATAGAAAAATAGGCACTGCAAAGAAAATTAATTTAGCTAATGGGCAAATGCTGATGGCTTTGTGTGACATACATGTTTCTGACAAACGTAACTAATGAATTACAACCTGCCTCCATCACTGCTGGGGGAGAGTGTAGAGAAAAAGGACAAATTCTTGGGGCATTACCTAAGGCAAAGACTCCAGTTAAGCCCCCACGTACCTTCTCTGCGTACTCGGACACAATCTGCTTGATCTCAGCCGAGCAGAGTCCCACGATCTGGCCCACAGAGCTTGCAGTGAGACGGCTCTGCAATCACAGGGAGGGTGTGTTCTCAAGACCATACCTTATCTTTCACAGAATTGAAAAACCTAACGCTCTGAGCATCACAGAAAAATAGGTAATATTCCCAGGGGAGAAAATAATTGGGCTTTTGCTTATGGATTCATCAATAAGGGAGGAAACAAGCCGTGGGACAAATGTGAATCCACCTCTCCACTTCCTGAGTCACTTGGCTACCTGGGCTAGATTCTCTTAGGACCCTGGGTACCTCTGGGAAGTCATTCTTCACCCTTTATACCCAATCCCAAGGTCTCTCTTCCTAAAGGTCACTACACAGAACCTGCAGGGAACTAGAGACTTAGGACCCAGGGAAAAAAGAAGTACAAGTGGGAGAAAAAGAGGACTCTCAGAACTCCTAAAATATTTTATCGCAGGCCTTTCCTGCTTCCAAATAAATGATCCTTTCAAAGCTCTTGGTTAAACCTTCTAGAGAGGCCTTCTGAGAAGACCAACTCTAAATCTGGTATTCCATTTTCTACCTAGATGTTACAGGAAGGAAACAGAAGACAATGCTTCCTTTGGCATGGGATTAACTCGTGGTTATGGAGAGGCAAGGCTGAACCATGGCTCTTCTGTTGAGGCCCATATGGTACTGTCCCAGCAGGGACTCCCTGCTTCACAAGGGTCCCTCAAGTCTTCCTTCTAGAGGTCCCATGGACAGGAATACTATAAAACAGCGGTTCTCAACCTGTGGGTCGCGACCCCTTTGGTGGTCGAAAGACCCTTTCACAGCTGTTGCCTAAGACCATCCTGCATATCAGATATTTACATTACGATTCATAACAGTAGCAACATTACAGTTATGAAGTAGCAACGAAAATAATTTTATGGTTGGGTCACAACATGAGGAACTATATTTAAAGGGCCAGAAGATTGAGAACCACTGCTATAAAAGCTTCTCAAAAGTAAGAGTCCTAGGAAACAGGAAACACTTGAGTGCTGAAAACACAAGGCTCTGAAGAAGGTAGTCCCTCAGGGAAGAGGCCCCAGAGAGCCAAGCAGATTGGTTCCAAGTCCCCATCTCCATACCATATCCTCACCAAGGATCACTCCCACCTCACCTCCTCATTTGCCATGGCAGTCATCTTGGTCATCAGTGACTGAATACGCTGCTAAGAGAGGAATGGAGAGAAGTAGTAGTGAGCAGATTTGTCCATGTAAGACTTACACAATTATGTCTAAACAGGTCTTTGTGGTGGAATCTAAGAGTTGTTTTATTGATCTCCTTTTATGGTTTTCCTCATGAGAGGTGATAAAAGGAAACTGGAAAGGGTATGAAAGGCCATCTAACAGCAGCTGACTGTGAGAAACACCTGGCCATTCTGGAAAGCTGGGAAGGAAAGTGAAGTTTCTCCCCAAATGATTTAAACAGAAACCTCAGGGCACCTACATGGGCCACATACCTCTTCAGCAGCTCGAAGCTCATCCTCCTCATGGGCATCAGCTTTTTCTGTAGCAGAGAGCCCTGTGGGAAGTGCCGTTTTCTTGTCCTCAGCCTGGAAAGGAAGATGCAAAAGCAGCTGAGCACTGGAGTTGGAGACTCAGTAGAGGAAAGACAACATTGCAAAGAGGCATGAGCCTGTGAAAGAAAACACACAGATCTGGCGAGCTGACCCAGTCCCTGAGAAGAATGGAAAATCCAGACCCCTGGGCTTCCATTCCAACTGCAGAGCAAGCAGGTCCAGCTTCAGGCCCTGGCCAATGCCTGTTCCCATTACTGAACTGCTTGCTGATTAATCCCTATCAGGCTGTACACATTTGCCTAACTTATCCTTACATTTTGATGGAGTCTTTCCTCTACTTTAATGCCTTCAAGAGCATATCGCTGCCTAAAGGAGTGGTTTTTTTTTTTCAAACTGCCAGTTGAGACCTATCATTGGGACATGAAAATAATTTAGGTACGACAAACATCTAAACAGATTAAATAAAATTTACAGAAAAGAAGAGATCAGAGTGCTTTGCAGGTAATCGAAGGTTAAGTACTGCTTTGTGAAACTGAAACTCAACAAAGTTTGAAAACCACTGGCCTAAAGGATAAAATTCTAACCTGTTTCACCTGGTGATCATGCTCCATATTCTGTATCAGGTCTCAGGCTTTAAATGGACCACACCACACTCAAAATACCTGGATTAACTACTGTTCCTCAAACATGGGCTGCAAGTCTTGAGTTCTTGGTTTTAATTCCATGTCTGTCATCCACCAGCAGGGTGACCTCAGGCTTACCTTCTCTGGATACCAGGGTCTTCTAGGGTTGAAAGGGAGGACTGGTCTCAAATACCCTTCTCAGATCATCCCAATGCAGGATGCTTTTCTATAACAAGTCTACAATTGACTGCGGGGAACACCTTGAGGTCCCAACTGCTGGGTATATATCTACAGGGGACAAGACTTCCAGTTCAAATGTGCAATCTGACATTAAGACTGAAAAGACAAGCCAGATGGGAATGCTCATTTATGGGCATTTTATGATTTTTCCAATCATAAACAAATGATATTACTTCAGAATATAGTCATATGCAAAACATTCTTTTCAGATTTAAATTACATATCAAATTAAATGTATGCATCAAATTCTTATATACCAGATGCCACATGACATACCTAAATCCAGAAAATACCTTGTTTTGGAGGAAATAAATGTTTAGTTGAGTGAAAACCACAAATGTGGAAAAAATAAGTAACAAGAAAACCAAAAAAGATAAAATCAGTGCATGACTGATTACTAATGAAATAATAACAACAATTAGATGTTTACTCTGTATTGGATCATTCTATATCCTTTACATTTTAATCTTTAAAACAGTGCTGCCCCCATTTTATAGATGCTATGAATTAAGGCACAACAATTAAGCATATTGTCCAAAGTCACATTGGAGAAGGGATGAAGTGAGTAGCAAATCCGGCTTTAGAACATGTGTTCCTAGTCATTGTCAGGGCTCTTCATGACTGAGATAGCAATTACCACAGTAATAAGAGGGAGGCTACGGTCAGGAAGGGCCTCCCCAAAGAAAAACTGAGAGATGCGAAAGCTAGACAGAGAATAATAATAGGTGTTTCACTGAAGAAAATCTGGGGATCAGATGAAGAATGAGAAAAAGGTTATTAATAGACCTGAAGTAGCAGGACTCTACTTTTTAAGAGGCCACTAACTTCTTTAGTTAGCACTTTATTCTTTTAATGGCAGCGGTTGAACGCACAGGCTTTGATGTCACACACACCTGGATTCAGATTCTTACTAGGGTACTTAAGGAGCTGTGTGATCTTGGACAAGTCACTGAGCCTCTCTGGGCCCCAGCTTTCTGATCCAAAAAACAGGAATAGGTATTTTACTCACAGAGTTGTTCAGAGGAATAAGTAAAAAAAAATACATATGTAACTCTGAACAAAGGGCCTGGAGCACAGTAAAGGTCTGGCACTGTAAGATTTATATGCATGCCCTGCTGCTGGCATTAAGGAGTGTTAATAAATACATAAATGATGAAAAATCTTTGTGACTGCTTTGTGAAGTTAGAAAAACCCATCTTGACTTACCTGATTTTCCTACCTAGTTACCTTAATACAGGCAGGCCTGTAATTTACGGTTATGTTCTATCTCACTGCCAGCATCCTGCTTCCACCTGTCTAGGGTCACCCTCACCGGATGAGGAGTGCTCAGGTCACTGGTAGTAGACTTCATGTTCACACTTTTAGAATTATTAGAGCCCACAGGATTGACCCAGGGGCCATGACTTTCAATTACCCTCCATTTCTAGCCCCAGATGAGGCCATTGCTTCAGGTCCCTGGTCTGGGAGGCACGTCCTTGCAGCCCTGGGGTTGCCCAAGGAACAGAGCCTGGTTGGCAGCAGCCCTGCCTTCTCACCCATGCTGGGCAGTCTGTCAATATCAGACAGAGGCAAAAGGGAGGGTCACTTCCATCTCTCAAATTTTCTCTCCCATTATCTATGCTTTTCTTACCTTCTCTGTTTTGCTCTGGCGGCTAAATCCGTATCTCCTGCAGGCCACAAAAAAGGGGAGTTCAATTACTATTCAAAAATCACATTAAGTCTGTCAAATGCAGTTTAGTTGAATTTTTATATAAAAAGCTAATTTAGGCTATTTGGTGTCAGGAGAAAATATTTTAAGTGCCCAAACCACAATATATTCCACTGTTTTTGAATAAAGAGCCAGCCACCCTATTCGCCATATAAATGCTTAAATGGGAACTCAGTACAGAGTGCGATATTCCCTTTAAGTGCATTCTCTTTACTCTTTGAAGAAGAAACTGTATTTCAGATTTACAATTTAAGCTAAATGTCTTGAAAATATCTGTGTAAACAAATGTGGATGTATTGCTCAAGCTAGACACACTCTCTAAAGGCGACTTGCACAATCTCCAGTCCAGCCCATTTTTTTCTCTCAAGCATACAGAAGCATTTTGCCAGTAATATTGTGTTCACATCACTCAACTTTAAATTCAAAGACATTCACAAATGCACTTTAATTTAAATTAGTTTATTTTCTAGCTCTAATTAATATCTACGTTTTCTTTATAGCAAGTATAACAGTGCAAAACCATTCAACATAAAATAAAAAAGCATGATGAAAAATACTCAACCTCACTTACCTGTAAATAGTTTTTAAGGACATAAAAATGACAAGCAACCATTAAAAAAAACCAACACAAATTAAGGGCTCCTACTCTGCTCTCACTCATGCGAAGCCTTATTTAATAGATCACTGTGCTGGCCTCTTACCTGCTCTCTGGCCTCCAGCCTCACTCTACTCCCACTCCTCCCCATTCTTATCCAACTGCCCACTGTCTCTCAGGACAAACTGGACCTCCTGGGCACTCTCATTAGGGCTTCCGTTCTATGGCCCTGCCTAACAACCATTTCGCCTCATCTCCTGCAGATCACCTTATGTGCTCTTGTACATCCATTGCCTGAACAGAGAACTTTACACACACTGTGCTGTCCTCTTCTCTCCCACTTTCCTATTCACTCTCCACACCTCAGCTCTAAAGCCACTTCTTCTCCAAGATTCTCATGCACAGACTCTCTGCCTTGGATCTGCACATGTTCCCCCACTTCCTGAATATTTGCATGTCTGCATTCTTCTCCTGGAGGGCATTGATGCTACTTTTACTAGTACATTTGGTATTTCCAATGTATGTTGAATAAATAAACTAAAACAAGTGCAAGAAAACACTGAAAGCCAAAGTATCACCTGACCATGCAATAAGATTGTCATACTATTGGAGAAACCACAAAGTCACTGCTGGGCACAACATTCCTATCCATTAGGCATACATCTATAGACCCAAAGTGCAGCGAGGTTAAAGGTGGATTAGCTACCATATTCTGTAAAGGACTTCTTGGCAGATTCTGTGAATTGGCTTAGTCAATATCTATTGCATCTTTCTACAGTGGGGAGGCTGGAAAACAAAAAACTCTATGTTCCATACTCCCTATACCTAGCATGCAGAATGCTGGCTAGGCTCTACCAATCAGGTGCATTTGCTGGAGTATTGAATGTGTAACAGTTACATGAGGAGAGAGGAAGGTCATAAAAGATTCACTGTGTGGTGTGGATCACAGAAGCAACTTGGTTTGGGGGCCAGCAGCTGTCACAGTGGCTTCCTGACTTTGGCAGAAGTGGTGTGATATTTTTTTCAGCAGCTGCAGCACCAGCTTCCCAATTCCTCAGGCCTCGAGACAGCTTCCAATTCATAAAGTACACACCAGCATCCTTAGAGGCCCAGTTCCAAAGTGATGCTTGGGAAATGACCCTGGCTCAGCCAAGATTCTGTGTTTTAAGCCCATGGATCCCAGTAATCAATCCCAATATATAGGGTAGGGTTCCTAGGCCTGGCGGGTGATCAAAGCCAATCTGTGAGGTGATGGGAGGGGGGGGGGATGGTGTCCTGCTGGCACCTGCCTTGGCTTGTGGCCTGGCGCCACCTGCTCACCGGCCCTGACCTGGGGCAGTTCCTGCATTGAGTGTCTGCCCCCTGGTGGTCAGTGCATGCCATAGCAACCAGTCGTTCGGCTGTTTGGTTGATTTGCATATTAGGGTTTTATTATATAGGACTAGAGGCCCGGTGCACAAAAATTTGTGCACTGGCGGGGCGGGTGTCCCTCAGCCCCACTTGTGCCCTCTCACAGTCTGGGACCCCTCGGGAGATAACGACCTGCTGGCTTAGGCCTGCTCCGGGTGGCAGAGGGCAGGCCCAATCCCTAGGTGCCTGCCCTGCAGCCCCTGGTCAGGCTCAGAGCAGGGCTGATTGGGGAGTTGGGGCGCCGCCCCCTGTCATGCACAGAGCAGGGCGGATCGGGAGGTTGTGATGCCACCCCCAGTCACACTCAGGGTAGGGCCAACTGGGGGGTTGGGGCGCCGCCCCGTCACACTCAAGGCAGGGTTGATGGGGAGGTTGCGGCGCCACCCTGTCATGCACAGAGCAGGACCGATCAGGGGGTTGGGGCGCTGCCCCCTGTCACACTCAGGGCAGGGCCGATGGGGAGGTTGCAGCTCCACCCCGTCACACACAGAGCAGGGCCCATGGTGGGGTTGGGGCGCCGCACCCTGTCACACACAGAGCAGGGCCCATCAGGGGGTTGGGGCGCCTTCCCCTGTCACAAACAGAGCAGGGCGGATAGGGAGGTTGTGGCCCCACCCCGTCACACAGAGCCGCAGGGCGATCAGGGAGTTTGGGCGATCAGGGAGTTTGGGCGCTGCCCCGTCACGCTGCTCCAGGGGCCAGGAGGCCTCGCGGCTCCGCTGATCCCAGTGCTGGGAGGCCTCGCGGCTCTTCTAGACACAGGGGCAGTGAGGCCTCGCGGCTCCGCTGATCCCAGTGCTGGGAGGCCTCGCGGCTCTTCTAGACACAGGGGCAGTGAGGCCTCGCTGCTCAGCTGATCCCAGTGCTGGGAGGCCTCGCGGCTCCGCTTGACACAGGGGCAGTGAGGCCTCACTGCTCTGCTGATCCTGGTGCTGGGAGGCCTCGCTGCTCCGCTGATCCCGGTGCTGGGAGGCTCTGCTGATCCCGGTGCCAGGAGGCCTCGCGGCTCCGCTGATCCCGGGGCGTGAGGCCTCGCAGCTCCGCTGATCCCAGTGCCGGGAGGCCTTGTGGCTCCGCTGATCCCAGTGCCGGGAGGCCTTGCGGCTCCGCTGATCCCGGGGCGTGAGGCCTTGCTGCTCTGCTGATCCCGGTGCTGGGAGGCTCCGCTCATCCTGGTGCCAGGAGGCCTCACTGCTCCGCTGATCCCGGTGCCAGGAGGCCTCGCGGCTCCGCAGATCCCAGTGCCGGGAGGCCTCGTGACTCTGCTGATCCCGGGGCATGAGGCCTTGTGGCTCTGCTGATCCTGGGTTTGGGAGGCCTTGTGGCTCCACTGATCCCAGTGCTGGGAGGCATATTACCCTTTTACTATATAGGATAGAGGCCTGGTGCACGGGTGGGGGCCAGCTGGTTTGCCCTGAAGGGTGTCCTGGATCAGGGTGGGGGTCCCGCTTGGGTGCCTGGCCAGCCTGGGTGAGGGGATGATGGCTGTTTGCAGCTGGTCACACCCCCTTCAGGGTGGGGGTCCCCAATGGGGTGCCTGGCCAGTCTGGGTGAGGGGCTGTGGGCCGTTTTCAGGCTGGCAGGTGACTGAAGCTCCCAACCTCTCCTTTTTTTCTTATTCTGAGATTTATTTACCTTCTATGGCTGTCACTGGAACTTAGAGCTGGTTTTAGCTCTGAGGCTCAGCTCCAGCTCTGAGACCTCGGCTGCTGAAAGCAGGTATCTGGCTTTGTTTGGGTTCTATAATTGAAACACTGTTGCAACTCCAGCTCGGCTGGCTGACTGAAAGCATGGGGTTTGTTTAGCTTTTATAATTGCAACATTGTTTCTTAGTGTGCAAGCTCAGAGCCCAGCAGCGGCAGGCGGGGAACCTTGGCTTCCTTCATCACTGGAGCAAGCAAGCCTCCTGTTCGCTTCAGCTGCCTGGCTGTCGGCCGCCATCTTGGTTGGCAGTTAATTTGCATATCGCCCTGATTAGCCAATGGGAAGTGTGTCAGAGGTACGGTTAATTACCATGTTTATCTATTATTAGATAGGATAATAGCCCATTATGGATAAACCACATTTTGTTTACCCATTCATCAGCTGATGGATATCTGTGTTGTTTTGTTTTGACAACTGTAAATAGTGCTATTATGAATACCCATGTACAGCTTCATTCACTTTTGTATTCCCAGCACCTACTAAAATGCCTGACACATAGTAGGTACTCAATAAATGTTTGCTGAATGAAGAGTCCAGATGATTTCTCTAAAAACTTCCTTCTCTATGTGATATTATGGCAATGCTTCCATTATGACAAAGAAGAGCTAGCTGCCTTCAGTTGCCTATTAATGCATGCCTCATTGTGTGCACTTAACTACTCTTCCAATGGTGTTTAAGCTTCACCAGAACATGCTATTCCCTTTGTGGCCCATCATCCCTCACAAAGAGCAGGGGGAATTTCAATTTACTTCTCTACAGAAGCATTTACTTCTCTTTATCCTCTCCCTAGGTATGCTGCTCTATCCTACAACCCCTCTTTCCTCTTGCCCAGTCAGGCTTACCCTTTCCTCTCTAGAGCCAACTGAGTTGCAGTGCCATATGCTCAATCTGTTCCTGCTTTCCCCTTGGCTAGCTCTGACTTATCAACTTTGCTGATGTCCTACAATGTCAGCATCAACAGAGCTCTAGCCCTCTTACCTAAACCTAGTAGTTGTCTTTAACATCAAGGATGTACATCTTCTAGAATACTAGTAGCATACTCCAAAAGAAATATAATGAGAGTCACATATATAACTTTAAATTAGTAGATTCATATACTCTGAAAATAATGAAACATATTCTAATAACTAAGTCAAGCATGGATTTTAAAGTTTAAAATGAAAATTCTGTTCGTAAGCCACACTAATTACATTTCAAGTGCTTAAAACCCACATGTGGCTAGTGGCTACCTTAACCGAATGTCACAGTTCTAGAAAACAAACTAACCTTTAAGAACAATTGCCCTAGGACAAATTAAGACATATCAATCTATCTGGAATTTGAACAAAACAGGCATAAGAAAGCCTTAAATACTAAGGACTGTGAACTCTGTTCTTTGTTCATTCAAAAAGCATTTACTATATACCTTCCATGAGCATAAATAGGCCTCACTATCATATGGGACACACTAAGTACAGAATGACTTCAAGGCAACTCAAAATTAAGCCTCAAATAGTGTGGAATAGGCTAACTCCAGTATCCTAGTGATTGGGCTTCAAAATTGCACTTGCAAGTCAATATACTGCATATAAAATGCATTTCCCCACAGTGGCAGTTTTGTATTATGGTTAAGTATTTAAGCTAGCTTCCAAAAGTTGATTGGGACCATAATAAAATAAAAATATTATACAGTTGCAATTCTGTTTACGTCTAAAATAAAAACTATGAATCTTGTTTTTCTAACACCATAACATTTAAACAAATATATCCAAACATGTTTTTAACAGACACACAATCCTTAAGGCCTTCAGTATGATTGAGCAGGCTCAAAGTCCAGACTTGTTTGAGCAATGAAAGTCAAAAAGGGGGAGGAAGAAGCTGGAATGCTGACCTCAAAGCCAGGTGCACTGTGGGCCTAGGCCAGTGGTCGGCAAACTGCGGCTCTTTGGCCCCTTGAGTGTGGCTCTTCCACAAAATACCGACTTCTGCCCATGGGCCACGAAGTTTCAATCGCACTGTACGTGCGCGCCCGCATGTGGTATTTTGTGGAAGAGCCACACTCAAGGGGCCAAAGAGCCACATGTGGCTCACAAGCCACAGTTTGCCGACCACGGGCCTAGGCTGATGAGTGACAAGAATACTAATGAAAGATGAGGCATTTGTATTTCTAGGTGGGAATGAGTAATTAAGGGTGCACAACAGTGAGGGGAGAGGCAGGATGGAGCATGAGTCTCAGAATCAGCAAGGGCCAGCCTGCTTGAATGGGAAAGGGAAGGAAGACTATTAAGACTTCCCATAAAAGGGCTAGAGCAGTGGTTCTCAACCTTTCTAATGCCGTGACCCTTTAATACAGTTCCTCATGTTGGTTTATGGTTATGTTAACCATAAAATTATTTTCGTTACTACTTCATAACTGTAATTTTGCTACTGTTATGAATCGTAATGTAAATATCTGATATGCAGGATATATTTTCATTGTTACAAATTGAACATAATTAAAGAATAGTGATTAAGCACAGAAACAATATGTAATTATGTATGTGTTTTCCGATGGTCTTAGGCGACTCCTGTGAAAGGGTCGTTCGACCCCCAAACAAAGGGGTTGGGACCCACAGGTTGAGAACCACTGGGCTAGAGGGAGGCCTAGTCCTCGGAGTAATGAGTATATAGAGACAAAGATAACTGAAAGGGAGGCTTAGGAATCTTCATTTGAATCTAAAGATCATATTTAAGGGAATTTTAGAACTGAAAACTGCTGCTGCTACTGCTATTGCTGGGGCCTAATAGTTAACATCTACTGTTTGCTACAGAGGACAAACTGTTGAAAGCTCTTCATATAATTATGTAACCCTCATTTAGTGGTAAAGATCCCCATGTAGTGGGAAGTACTGAATAGAACTGTGAGGAAAGAGACTCATAGCCAGAAAGGAGGGAAGGGGACTTCTCCAGAATGGGGAATAAGACGCACACTTGTTGGGTCTTTAAGTTTTATCTAGTTTGCTCTGTCAGTTTAATAATCACTGTCTTCTTGTTTAGTCTCAGACCAAAAAACAAAGACTGTCCTTCTAAAACTAAGAGCCAAACTCTCATTGGAGGCTCAAACAATAATATTGTAGATAATGATAATGACATGTTTTTGGACTCCAAGAAACCTGATTGCAAGTCCTAGTTTGAGACTCTTAAGAGTTAATTGTTGACCTTGGAAACATTATTTTTTAAACTTTCTGAATGCTGTCTTTATCATTCTCAGAAAGGAACATAAACTAAATAAATTATAAAAATGTAATCAGAATTTTTCTTCCCCATCTCTCAAAAACTCACCATTCCTTACCAGCAAAGCTATAAAGAAAGCAAAATAATCCCTCTCCTAAAAAACAAAACCAACAAGCCCTCCATCCTACCTACTTAGGCTTAGAAGGTATGACCCCACCAACAGGAACTAAGACTGGTATTGAGACACTGTTCTTTCTTACACTCCAAATTTGCAAGGAGTCACAAACAAAACCTTGCTCCCTTCCCTAAAGAAAGACAAGCTAGACTCTGCCTCACATTGGCCCAAACACTCCTGAGGATGAGCAGGAATGTCCTAAATTTACCCAGGATAACTATCATCTATGACATATGCAAAAGATCCAATGTGAAACTGAGTTTCAAAACAAAATAGAATATTAAAAGTTGTCAGCAAGGTCTCCATGAGGTGGACAATTCACTGAATCTCTGACTCCTTTTCAGCCCCAAGAATGTTGGCGTTTCCATGATAATGGGCCAATTGAAGTATGAACGATACAAACTAACAAAAGCCACAACATTCCCCTAAGTCAGCGGTTCTCAACCTGTGGGTCGCGACCCCTTTGGCAGTCGAACGACCCTTTCACAGGGGTAGCCTAAGACCATCCTGCATACATTATGATTCATAACAGTAGCAACATTACAGTTGTGAAGTAGCAACGAAATAATTTTATGGTTGGGTCACAACATGAGGAACTGTATTTAAAGGGCCAGAAGGTTGAGGACCACTGCCCTAAGTACTCCTTGGCTCTGGAACATGAGGCCACAAGCAGGTGCCTCTCCAGCTCTGGCTCTCCCTAAGCAGTGCAGCCTCACCTGCCCACCTGCAGCTGGGGCTTGGCTGAAAAGTGCCTAGGGCATGCAACCTGTCCAATCGCAAAGGGTACAACTCAGAAGTGCCCCACATTTGTTTTTTTGCTATCTCAAAATTCTTAATATTAATCATTATTAATAATTCTTAACAAGGGGCTCTGCATTTTCATTTTATACTGGGCCAGGCAAATTATGTAGCTGGTCTGATATGCCTCTCTCAGAAGAGTTCAAGTCACAGCAGCAACTGGTGAGCTGAGCAGGCAGCCATCACACCTGGCTTAGGGCCAGAACTAACAGCTTCCTTTGAATGAAACAGACTAGCTTCATTCTCAGGAAGGAAGGACTTGACCCCACACAATCCATCCTCTCCCCCCCAAATCAAAAACATAGCAATAGCAATTCCATTTGAAAGATGGAATACTTAAGCCAATTAAGCCTAGTATCCTCTGGTTCTCTCCAGGACCTAGAAGAGGAAGCCATGAGAGGCTCACTCAGGGAGATGCTAGTGGCAGTGCCGTTAGTTCCAGCCACCCGGTGGGTTGGGTTGGTTACTCAGCAGAGCAGCACACAGCAAACACTCCCAGCACAAAGGAAAGAAACCAAGGAGACATACTCACATCAAGGAGTCAGTTACCCTAAGTAGAAAATGCAGGACATAAATGAAGGTTAATACCCAGTGTCAACCAAAAAATTCAATGGGGAGAAGTACTTCCTTATGTGCATGTGTAATTAGTAAAAACTGAAGATATAAAATAATAATTGTTTTTTTAAAATAACTAGAATGTTTTTAAAAAGTGACAAAACTACTTCTGAATTCTTTATTTTCCTAGTCAGGACAATTCTTCAAAGGAAACCAAAATTATTATTCTAACACTTAAAGTAAAACTGTTCAAAACTCTTTAGTTTACCTGGAGATTTTATCAAATGGCAGAGATCTGAAGGGCAGACCACCCTCAGCCTCCACAAATCCCCCTAATTCCCAACCCCCAAGGAAAGCGGAGCTAAGGCCCACAGTTACACACACTCCAAAAGAGGAGTTTCAAAGATTAGGCCTCTACCATCACCAGGGAAGCAACCCCCAGAAACTTGGGTAATTCAATACCAGAGAGAAAAGTTCCAGATGCTGAAAAACTTAGGCCCAAAATAGTAAATTCAATCAGGTAAAAGCCAACCAAGCTAATTCCAATGAAAAAATTCAAAATAGCTTTTCTTTTCAGTGGTTTTATAAAATAGGCACTGTAGTCAGGGTCCCATTCATACCTGCCATATTCCAAAAGTGTAGCATGGATTCGAGATTCTTCATCAAGCAGCTCCTCTGCTCCTTGTTGCCGTTTGTATTTCCGACGGGGCTTGTAAACATCCTAAGAAGTGTACGAGACAGAGGAGTCACTGAGTGTGAGAAGTCTCTCACACGGAACTGGGTGCTGAATGTGAACATCCAGTCAGGGAATGAGTCTTGTCCCCATCACAACAGCAGGTACTCAGGGGAACTGCCTTCAAGGACGCTGCTCCTGCAACTTTTATATAGGTAACCAATATTTCCACCCAATCTATTGCTTGTCAACTTTGTTATAACTTGGTGTTTTTTTGCCCTAAGACATTTTAATCTTTTATGTAGTCAAAATCATTACTTTATAGCTTACTTCCTATCCAGGGATTGTGGAAAAAAGCTGTCTGTTACTTTTACAGGCTACATTTAGCCTGTTCATCTATTCATATTTTGAGTGGGAGTAGGCATAGTGAAAGGTAGGGATCTAGCTATTTTTTTCTGAATGGAAAATTAAGAATCCCAACATCATCAATTTAAGTCTATCCTTCCCCTGATTTGAAACACACACACACACACACACACACACACACACACACACACACACACCCCTACCTACCTTCTAAACAAGTACATGGCATGTAGTAGCATGTACTCCATTAATGTAGGTCTTCACCCCCCAGATGACCTGGGTTGTCATTCTACCCTAAATGAATGCTCTTGACTGACAAGCTGGCAGTCAAATAATACCTTAGCAATATTTGCTCAGGCCTCTGGGTCCAGGTAGATAGTTGTTTGTACAAGCAATGTATTCTAGTTGTGTGTCCCTGGACCTTGCTTCTCCACTAGGAGAGTTCACCACATCTGTTTTCTACCTGGACATCATCAGGTTTCTCTAGATAGTGACATTTTTATTCTAATTAGAATTGTTTCCTCCTTGACATTATTTTAGTTTTTATTATGAAATATTTCAAACAGAAAAAAATTCTTTCTGTAACATATACTATATAATTTCAACAGTTTTGTGGAAAGGGATGGAATAGGGTGTGAGATGATGCTAGAGAGTTGTTCTTATAGCTTGCTACCACAAATATTTTCTGGTTTGCTACTGGTGTCTACACGAACAGGAAGCTATAAATAATATAAAACAGATTTATGGGGAAATGAAAACTATAATGAACCCATATGACGTCAGTTACTGCGTATGCTTTAATTTCCACTGAGCTCTACTATTATAGCTCTACTATTATAGCAGTACTATATTATTGGGCTTAATTGCTTTCTTCCTTAATTACCACTGATAGCATCAATGACCCAAGACAGGAAATTGAATTCTTCGAAAAAAAAAAAAAAAAGATTGACTCCAAAACGATAGTATACTGAATCAACAACAGCTACTACGACCTTTTATTCTTCCAAACAATGACAATTTTGGATTCTGTTTAATTATTCCTTTTACTTTAAAGCATCTCATAAACATTTTAAAATTATAATTACCCTGAGATAGAGGCAAGGCAGATGCTAGTCCCTCCACTTTATTTTTGAAGAAGCAGAGATTAAATAATGTTCAGGATTGCCAGGAGAATATTGGGCCTGGTTCTAGGTACTCTGCTGGCCCCAAGGTTTTCCCATTACACTTACTTGGTTCTGATGGGCATTCTAGTCACCCACCTGCCATTTCAGCTGAGCCCTCTCATGAGACTCCCTATACAATATGAGACTGCACATGAATCATTACAATGACTTGGACCTAATAATAATAGTAAAACTGACCTAAAAGCAGAGGTTCCAGACCAACCAAAAACTATTGCCAAGTCACCCTGTAAAGCAACAGGAGTCAGGAACACTGATGTCTAGTCCTGTCTCGTACTAACTAGCTGCATGACCTTGGGAAAGGTTCCCTCAATGGGTCTGTTTCCTCATCTATAAACTGAGGACTGGATTAATAGGTCTTGAAGGAGAATCCCCGTCTCTCAATCTTTGTTATTTTAATCCTGTAAAGATACTGACTTGGGCCATAGCTTGTTTGGCTCAGTGGATAGAGTGCCGGTTCAAAGATTGAAGGGTCCCGGGTTCGTTTGTGGTTAAGAGCACGAACCTTGTTTGCTGGCTCCAACCCTGGCCCTGGTCGGGGCACATGTGGGAGGCAACCAATCGATGTGTCTCTCTCACATCTATGTTTCTCTCTGTCACTACCCCTCCCATCCACTCTCTCTAAAAATCAATGGAAAAATATTCTTGGGTGAGGATTAACAAACAAACAAACAAACAAACAAGATACTGACTTGGTTAACATAATCCCATCAATAATATAAAGTGAGATTAATAAAAAACAACAACACACCCATGCTTTACACAGTTGTGCTCTTACAAAGGCATGCAAAATCAACTTATCTTTTGCCATTAACAGGAGTAGCAACAGTAATGGCTATTGAATGCTAGGTATGTGCCAGGCATTCAATACCTGTGTGGGCTATGGCCACCTCATGGTCCTATTTTTTTACTTGATGAGCCTCTGATCTGTGGAATCCCTGACAACTGAAATGTCACTTTCACCTCAGCTCCTAGAGAGCAGTGTGGTTCGTAGTGAATCCTCAATTAATCTTACTAAATGAAGACATGGAGTCAGGCAGACGGAGCTTAGTCCTGACTCCATAATGTACTACCTGTCTGACTTGGGGCAAGTTACTTTAACCTCTGTGGCTTCCCATCTATAAAATAGGTATAAGCAGAGTGGTTGTGAGGGTTAATTATATAACAATACCTGGCATACAGTAAGGGCTAAGATACATATAAATGGATATTATTAATAAAATGTGCTAATATTATTTTACTATATTGCACATTTATATTTTATGTGCTGTATGAAAAGGCCCTCCACATGGCAGAACACACTGGAGTAGTAACTTTAAATGACATTGTCTCTTAGGTGATCCGATAAGTTCAGCAAGGCATTTCCTTTCAACTGGACTTGAAGCTTTAAGAAGTCTTTTTTTTTTCCCTGTTCCCTCTATAAAATTCTAAGCATTCCCCAAAATGCTCAATAAATAGTAACTGAATACCTTTTGAAGCTCTGGGTAAAAATTCACAGGCACTCTTCCCTCAGGGTTACAAGGGAGTCAGACCCTGCCGCACAGGACAGATCTTTAGGAACATGAGAGGCTGCCAGCTCCAAAAAGGAAGTAGGCTGTCCAACAGCATACTAAGTGAAACAAGTGAGCCATCACGCTGTGAAAGTGGAAGGCGGTGAGGAGAGGCCTGCCATGGGTGGCAATAGTTTCATTTTCTTATGTCCTTTGAAAATACCACCTTCCCTGAAGCAGGCCTTTTACAGACAGCTAGCTACTGTGTGAAAGGAGATGTGGCGAAGTCAAGGAGGTAACACATTTCAAAGAAGAAACAGAAGTACTGAGGATAATCCCTAGAAGGAAGAAAAATGAGGCCAAAAGGTGATAAACTCAAGTTACAGTTCACAACAGCTTTTCTGCCTGGCAATCTGGTAAAAGGTACTAACAGCCTTAGGCTTAAAACCTTTGACCCAATTCCACTTCAAGGCAGGTATTCTAAGTAAATAATTAAAGATAAAAGAAAAAAGGAGCTATGAGGATGTCCTCCATCATGCCCTCCCCAAACTAAGCTAATTAAATTAGTAACACACAATGAATAATCTACAGACACTAAAAATGTGAGGGAGGTATATTGATGCAAAGATAGCCCAGCTTATATGAGCAAAATAAGACTGTACCAAAACAGAATATCCTATATAATAAAAGGCTAATATGCCAACAGACCAAATGGCAGAATAACTGAACAACCAGTTACTATGATGTGCACTGACCACTAGGGGGCGTGTGTGGAACATGGTAGATGTTGGCTGCTGCAGGATGGTGGAGCAGGTGAGTGGGGGCACCAGACCAAGCCAGGGCGCCGCTGGTTGCGGTCATCAGGGTGAGCCTCTGCTGGTTACTGAAAATTCTTTGCTCCTGCGTGCCGCAGTCCAGCCCGGCACTCGCACCTGCTGCCGGCACTGGCCCCACTTGCACCCTCTGCTGGCACTGGAGCCGCCACTCGCAACCACTGCCAGCGCTCAGCGCCAGTCCTGATCACTTGGTGCCATCAGTGGGTGTGAGCAGTAGTTGCCGGCCCTGATCACCTCTGAGGGCTTCTTCACCTCCCCCTGCTCCTGAGGGGCGATTGGGGCAGCAGCCGCCGCTCGCACCTGCTGATGGTGCTGGCCCCACTCACACCCATTCACTCTGGCCCCAATCACTCTGCACTGTCAGCGGGTGTGAGCGAGGCCAGTGCCGTCAGCGCATAGGAGTGGCGGAGGCGGGAGCGGGGCTGCGGGTAGACAGGGGACTGGGGCTGTGCCAGGAGAGGCCAGGCGGGGGTGCAGAGGATGGGCCGAGACCCGCCCTGTGCCTACTGCAGCCTCACGGCCCTCAGTTCCTTTCAAGTGCACAAATTCATGCACTGGGCCTCTAGTACAGTATAATACTGTTTTTCTTTTTTTGTGTTTTCTAATTCTCTATATTGATATCCATAATTCTGTATTTCCTACTTATAGAGTATCAGTGATTATCTCTGGCTGGTGAGATCATGGGTGATATAGCTTTGTACTTTTCCTCAGTTTCCTAATTTTTCATTATTATTAGTAGTACTAGCATAAAAGAAAATAAGTTCTTTAAAAACAAATAATCATGCACCAAAAAAAAAAAAAATGGATGGGCTATATGACCAAGGACAAATGTAAAAGACAGAATGAGTCCTATAAAGTTGGCTAAAGACAAGAATAAGTTACATGCTTTGAAAAATATTATAATGTTTATAATTTATTTTTTAAGAAGAGGTTATTTCTAAGCAAGAATAAGTAAACACCTGCTGGTTGAAGCACAATGGTATCACGTTAATTGATGAAAAAAGAAAATATGACAACTTCCATTTGGCAAACATTCTCCAGCTGGAGAAAGGGTCTTCAAATGGGAACAGTCAGAGTAAATGTCCTATAAATGACTTCTGAGGTGGCAGCGGAGCTCCCAATCACTTGGGTGATGTGTCTGAGTCTCTGGGACCCAGATGAACAACAGCCCAGAG